GATCTTTTGTATGTGACTTAATTTCACTCTCTAGAAATTCGTAGGCTCTTTTACCAGAGTTTTGAAATTTCACAATGATGTGCTTTGCTATAGGTTGATTTTCATCCACTCTTCTGGGCCATTCATTGGATTCTTTAAATTTGGAAATGTTTTCTTCTGCTTTGGGAAATGCTCTTGAATTTTTTCTTTGATCATTTTCTTTCTTTTTCTTTTTCTTTTTTTTTTTTTGGATACTTTCTTTCCTCTATTTTTTTGGAACTCTTGGACTGCAAGATTTATATAATTTCATCTTTTCTATTTTTTAAATCTTTGTTGTTTTGCTCTACTTTTGGGAGATTTTCCCAACTTCATCTTCCAATCCTACTTTGAGTCCTTCATTTCTGCTGTCGTATTTTAAATTTTCAAGCCTTTTTTTGTTCTTAGACTTTTAAAAAATAGGATTTTATTTTTGCTTCATGGAAGCAAAATCTTTTCTTACCTCTCACATATTCTAAGATTGTTTATTTTTCTTTTTCCTGCATGGCTTTTCTTCCAAATCCCCCACCAATGCCATTTGTTTTTGTCTCTATTATGCCAGAGGCCTTTCTCAAATGTCTAGCATTTCTTGGTCTATTCAGGTAAGAGTGAAGTGCTAAAGAGCTGATCAGAAGCTCTGTGATTCTGAGGTTATCTGGCTGGGTTGTTTTCTTGTGGGACCCTCCATATCAGTGTCTTTAGGTCTTTCCTCTTGGAATAGTCAGGTTTTCCAGAGAAAAATCTTCTAGTCTGTTGCCTGGAGGATATCAACATGGCTGGCAGCATTTCATTTACCCAGTGGAATGTGGGAGTGAAGGGGCTCACCATTCCCTATGTAACTTACTCAATCCCCCTGCCATTCATCATGATAAATCTGCATTCAGTGTTGCTGAATGTATTCCAGTACAGAAAGTTTTTTTTAAAAATCCAACTGTGAAAATAAACTTCCAGTTTACTGCCAGGGTAAAGGGGAAGATGATCAGCTTCATGGAATAAGAAGAGACAATGGCATCTTTTTTCTTTTTAACCTTTAATTATGGAGAATTTCAAACATCCACAGGGGATAAAACAGAATAGTGTGATAACCCTCCGTGGATACATTTCCAGCCATCATCACATTGCTAGTTCTGCTCTGTATGTACATCTTTCTTCCACTTTCCTTATCCTGTGTCACTTTGAAACACATTCCAAATATCGTTTCATCTGTTTTCATTCAGTACATATCTCTAAAAGGACATTTTAAAGGAACATATTCTTGATTATAAAACCTAAAATTAACAATTCTTTAATATTATCAAACCTCCATAAATGTCACATGTTTTTATTTATTTTTATATTTGTTAGTTGCAGTCAGAATACAAATAAGGTCCATATATTCTGGCTGGTCAATGTGTCTTTTCACTTGCAATTTATAGATTCCCCCATGTGCAATTTTTAAAATTGGAATGTATTTGATGAAGAGACTGAGTTGCTTGTCCTTGAGTTTCTCATGGTCTGGATATTGCTGATTGCATCTCTGAAGTGTAGGTTAACATTTTTCTCTAACATATTTCCTGTATATTGGTAGTTGGATCTGTATGTTTAATTGCTTCTTGTTATTGTTCATTCTTCAAGTTCACTGATCCTTTCCTCTGTCTGCTCCATTTTGATGTTGAGTCCACCCAGTAAAGTTTTAATTCCAGTTAATGTATTTTTCAGTTCTAAAACTTCCATTTGGTTCCTCTTTATCTCTTCTATTTCTTTGCTGATATTCACTGATCCTAGGCTATCATTGAAATGATGTCTTTTAAAATGTGAACAAATGAGAGAGTGGCAGAATATGGTAGTCAGCCTCCAAGGTGACTCCCTATCTCTTAGTCTTCACACCTTGTGTAGCCCCTCTCACATTCAACCAGGGTTAGTCTGTGTAAACAATAGCATATGGCGGGAGTAATGGCACATCACTTCAGAGATTAGGTTGTAAAGGACCGTGATTTCTGTCTTGGGCACTCTCTCCCATGCATGCATACTCAGATCACTTGCTCTGGTAGAAGTGAGATGCTCTGTAGTTGAAAGATTACAGCAATCTGTGAAGAGACCCATGTGGTGGGGAACTGAAGTCTCCAGCCAACAGCCATGGAGGAACTGAGACCTACTATCTACCACGTAAGTGAATTTAGAAATATATCCTCCCCTTATTGAGCCTTCAGATGAGACTGCAGTTCCAGCAGAAGCTTGAAGGCAGCCTCATGAGAGGCTTTGAGCCAGAACCACCAGCTAAGCTGTCTCCAGATTCTGGCCCACAGAAACTGTGCAATTATAAGTTTTTTTAAGCTGTTAAGTTTTGAGGAAATTTGTTATGTATTATCAGATAACTAACATATCAGGTGTGTACCTGAGTCTTGGCTCTACCACTTATTGAAAGATGCAGGACATGCTGGATAGCCTTGTGAGCTCCAGTTTCTTTACTTGGAACTCAATGACCATTGTTTTCTCATCTACTTTTTTGGGGTTGTTATGAGTCTCACATAAGATAAAACATACAGGTATTTATCAAACCTAACTCCCCTATTTAAAGATGAAAACTGGAAAGCCAAAGGAATGAAAAGAATTGACAAATGAGGCATTAAGGTACAGAGGAATTATATGACTTGTCCAGGCTTCAACTGTTTAGAAAAAGAGCAAGGACCGGAATCCAGGGCTTATGACTCCAAGTGCAGTTATTTTCCCTATGACGCTTAATGTATCACATGCTATTAACATTAAATAGTAACTCTGTGTTTCTGGAAAATAGGAAGCAAGTAAATTGTAAATTGTACATGATTAACCAAGTGGATTGTATTTCTTCTATGGTACATGATAAATTTGAAATAAATCCAAGAGGGTCAGAGTTGTTCCAATTCAGCTTTTACATCATAAAGCCGACACAGAGCCAGTTAACCCTTCCTACAGCTCTTCGTTGCTCTACCAGCCATCCCAACGTGCTGAGTCCAAGCACATAGACACCCAGCCAAAAGGTGACTAATACCATCTCTTCACACCCAAACCATGTACATTAGGCAAATAGCTCCTTTAAAACCTTGCTAGACAAGTTGGTATCAGTATCATTAAACTACAAATACTCCTTTGTAATGCAGTTTTAGAAAAAAAAAAAAAAAAGTTGACTGAGAGGAGAGAAATTAATAGTATTTTGAGCCAACAAGGTCAGACCATTTGGGCAACAGTGATTAACCTCAACAGGGTTACAAACATTTCAATTAACATTTTTTTCCTTAAAGAAATACTTTTGTAAACCACCTCACCTGTTTTCCCCTCAACTTTAGTCTACTGACAAAGGAGAAAGTGACATTTTAAGATGTTAAAAAAAAATTGATTTTGATCAGATTTTAAAAATATATATGTCGACACAAAGGAAAAACGAAAACAAAAATAGTTGTGTTGGAGTGGTAGGGTCATTTTTTCCATTCTTAGGTTTTTAATTTTTTAAAATATATTAATATGTAATATATAATAAAACATTTTTTTTACATAGTAATATATTTATATATAATTTATATTATATATTTACATTATATTTTTAATTTAAAAATTCAAATTTATATGTCTGTCTTGACAGAATGGGATTTAATAGATCTTTGGGATTTAAATAACTAGTTATGGTTTAATTTTTCACTTCATGTGCATCAGTTAAGATTCTTTCGTTGCAAGCAACAGAAACTAACTCCAGCTACTTAAACAAAAAGAGAATCTACTGGAAGGGTACGGGAGAGAGTATAGGACCCAAAGGGAGGCCTTGGAGAAGCAGGAAGCAGGTAGCCACTGAGTGTCCACCCCCCTGACCGTAAGTCCTTGCCACTGGTGTAAGCGAACACTCGCGAACTCTGTGTCTTCTGTGCTCAGTCCCTGGGTCTAAGGTGCAAAATGCTCAGACAGTGAGATTCTGCTTGGCCAAAGATGTGCCATGCTAGGATGTTCTAAGACAGACAAAGGAGGAAGTTGAATGAAATCTCCCAGATCCCCTCGATTTTTGTGTGGGAAAGCAGAACACATTGAGGATAACTTCCTACCATACAACACTCAGCAGTGGGCAGATAGTCACCCTAAAAGGAGATGAGAATACTGATTGGCAGGTCTAGTGTCCACTAAATCGTAGATTTATTCTCACCACTGGATGAGAAGTTTGTGAGAACATGAACTGTCTTCCAGCAGTATTTTAGATGGACACTCACATCTTTCCTCCTCACCTATCAAAGACCAGTGAATACATGCTTTGGGCCTGACATTTTGGTGTGATGCTCTATATATGAGGTCCCAACTCCTGGACCATGGACCAGTAATGGCCGCGGTCTGTTAGGAACCAGGCTGCACAGCAGGAGGTGAGCGGTAAGTGAGGGAGCGAATCTTCCTCTGTATTTGCAGCCGCTTCCTGGTGCTGGCATCACCTCCTCAGCTCCACTGCAGATCATAAAGTATTAGATTCTCATAGGAGTGCCGGTCCCTGGTGCCAAAAAGGTTGGGGACCGCTGCTGTGTATAACTTGATCTAATCTCTACACTCAAATTATATGAATCTATTATCAATACCTAGTGCTGTGTTTCTAGATCCTTCCCATCCCAGTTAGTCCCTCTCCTTTTTATTCCCTTTTGATGGCCCACACAGCTTTCCCTGAAAACTGTTCTGTATTATCAGGCATTACGTAAAAACAAAAAGGGAAGAGGATCCCATTGTTTAATACTGGTTAAACCAAATATACAAGTCAAAGTCTGTCTAGATTGCTACAGATCATTCTACTCAGTTTTGAAGATCTTACTTTGAGATCCTTAAAGGTAACCATTAAACCACATATTTTTAGGAGGTGAAATTCATATTGCTTTAAGACACAAGTGGTTTAACTGCATTTTTGATAGAAGTGACAGTGTCAAAAATTTTATTAACGTTCAGTTTAAAAAGCTTTATACCGGGGTACACCAAGATACAGGAGTGCTGCTTCTTAAAGAAGTTAACCTTCAGGGTTTGGTCCTTGGTTCAGAAGCTGTGGAGCTTTGGTAGTTTTTCAAGTACTTTAAGAATTCATGATCTTGGTCCAGGACTGGCAATATTGTGCCATTTTCTTCTTCCTTCAGGGGAGAAGAGATACTGTGACCCTTCTAGGCTCTCAACACATTACCACACAAGTGACTCCTTAACATCTTCTGTGGATTAGACTTTGCTCTAAATTGGCCTCAAGGCTCCCTCAGAGGAAAGACTGAAGGAGGGAACCATTGAAATTTCTCAGGATGGACCTTAAATGCAGTGTTTTTTTGTGTGTGTGATAAAACATACATTATAAAATCTACCATCTTTGATCATTTTTAAGTGGAGAGTTCAGTGGCATTAAGTACTTTCACATTGCTGTATAACCACCACCATCCATCTCCAGGACTTTTTTTTCTTTCCAAAGCACAACTCTGTGCCCTTTTAATGACTCCTCACTCCCTGGAAACCACCACTCTACTTCCTGTCTTTATGAATTTGATTACTCTAGGTCCCTCATGTAAATGAAATCATAAAGTATTTGTCCTTTTGTGTCTGGTTTATTTTTAAATGCAGTTTTGATACTCAGAACACTAGCCTTACAGTGAGTAAGGATACAAGTAGGTGTGGTTGTTACTTCTAGATGAGTCTTCAACCTGGATCCCTTATACAATTCTTATGAATCTGAACCTCCTTATTTAATAGACAGGTCTCCTAATTACAAGGTTTTCACAGAAGCTTTAAATTCAGATGATACTAATCACCACTCTGGGTCTTCTCTGCTTTGAGAGCATCCTTGGTCCCAGAACAAGATTAGCTGCTGCTGGTTAGCAACAATCACCACCATGGTAACACTTACTGTATGGCTTTGGATTTTGCTGATGATTCAAGTTTGACACCTAACAGAGTATCATTCACTCTTTAAACCCCTAACCCCATGTTTTACCTGGCCACTTGAGAATTTTGAGCTCATTTTCCTTATATGAAAAATATCTAACACAATGTAAATCAAAACCACATTTAGATACCACTTCACACCCATTAGGATGGCTATGATAAAAAAAGAAAAATTAGTATAGGTGAGGATTTTGAGAAATGGTAACCCTTGTAAGATGGTGTATTCACTATGAATAAGAGTATGGTGGTTCATCGAAAATTAAAAATAGAATTACCATATGATCTGGCAATTCTGCTTCTGAGTCTATACCCAAAAGAATTGAAGGTGAGAACTTGAGACATTTGTATTTCCATGTTCATAGTAACGTTATTAACAATAGCTAAAAGATAGAAATAACCCAAGTGTCCACCAACGCATGACTGGATAAAATGTGGTATATCCATACAATGGAACATTATTCAGCCTTAAAAAGGGAAGGCATTCTGACATTTGCTACAACAGGGATGAACCTTGAAGACATTATGCTAAGTGAAATAAGCCAGTCACAGAAAGACATATACTGTATGAATCCACTTAAGTGAGGTACATGGAGTAGTCATACTTACAGAGACAGAAAGCAAAATGGTGGTTACTGGGGTGGGTAGGGAGTTAATTTTTAATGGATACAGAATTTTGGTTTAGAAAGATAAAAAGTTCTGAGATGGACAGTGGTGATAGTTGCGCAGCAATCCGAATGTAAATACCACTGAACTGTACACTTTTTAAAAACTGTTAAAATGGTAAATTTTGTTATGTATATTTTACCGCAATAAAAGAGAGTTTAAAACAATGTCTTAGGTTATCTGATCATTATTCCCTGCTCCTACAGAGTTTGTCCCCAAACATTATATTCTAGAAAGAGACAAAATGCAGTTAGTAGCAAAACAATGTTTCAAAAGCTGGCCTGCCTCAGTTGTTTGTATTTTTCAATAATAAGTCACTTTAGCATCATATCCCCTCCTGTCCTACTCCCCACTCCAAAGGATGCAAGTAGGGAAAAAAGAGTGAAATTTGAAACCGTAGGCAACAGGACAAGCTTCTATGGGGCTAGGACAGGTTCCAGAAGCCTGTTCTATGCAAAGGCGGCCCACACAACACAGGGAGGGAAGAAACTCAGAGCTAAGTCACCAGAGAAGCCCATCTGTCCCATCACACACCTCACAGTGGCAGCGTAGGCACCTGCCAGCTGATCACCTGCTGAGGTGGCCCACCAGGAGGTATGGGCACTCTTTTACACTCAGAAGTTACCTACCTCACAAAAGTGGTTCTCTATAATACTCAAAGCAGTCAGGGCAACGTGTTGGTTCTCATGAAGTTGCAAAGCCTCGATTCTATCAACCCCACCAAGTTCTTCGATCAGGAGACACAGGTTTTCTTTCTCCGAAAGCTTCTCTGCTGCCTGGGGTTGGGAGAGAGAAGCAAGATTCTGGGCAAAAGCCTAAGAGGGTACAGCTTGGCCCGTGGATCTGACCAAGGCTCCTGCTCCAGGACAGGCAGTCTGGGCTTCACTTTTCCTAAACTGACATGATTGTCTTCCCGCTTTGGATATTTATATTATATGTACTTAGGTTTCTTTTCACCACACAAAATACACCTTTTTTTTTTTTCTGAATGCGCTGCCATCCATAAATATATCACTATTGCTATTTAGTAGGTATCCCATTTTATTTAATAGAAATTGTTTTAAATAACAGTTTGCAAGAATGTTCCAGCAATGCTGTGTAAATGCAGGTGTTCTGGCCCTGCACTCCCTGAGAGCATTGAGAGAGAAGCCAGGAAGCCCTCAGTAATGGCAGCCACACCACAGCAAACTGTGTAGTCCCCGGAAACAACGCGAGAGGGTTTAATCCAGTTCTGGTCATCGGATTTATCATGGGGCCTGCCTATCCATTCACTCCAACATATGTCTATACGCGATAAGTGAGGCACACAAAACTAGAAATACAGATGTGATTTAGAGAGGGCCTTTTGTAACTCATAATTGTTAGGGTGAAGAAAGTATAATCTAGTAAATGATCAGAGGTTTACGTTAGAGAAGATGTGCCCAGAAGCCTTGGAAAGTAATACAAGATCTTAATGAACAAGGCTGTGCCAGGTTGATCACGGGATAATGACATTCCCAGCAGAAGGACCATGAGGACAAAGTTTTGAAGGGGTAAGTGCTGGATCTTAGGAGAAGAGGGAGTAGTTCAGAGAAACAGCATATATGGGGAAAGTGGAGAGAGATAAAGAAAAAACTGTGCTGTCATATCTAGAAGGTCCCTGGCTTGCTTTTTTTATGAGCAGAAATAAAAAACCTCCTGTGGATCAAATTCATCATTCTTTGGGCCGTACTGTTTACCTGATGAGAGTCTGTACTGTCTATCTAAGCCTTGACACCCTCTAGGTCTATCTGTAGGTCCAAATGAGTTACTGATTTTGAGGGAAGAAACTAGGGCAGGAATCCACATGCTAGGTTAGCCTCAGAAAGAAAAGTGGGCCGTAGGGGACCACCCAGGGCAGCAGAAGCCCTGGAGAAGGATTTTGGACTTTAACAGCAAATGGCCCCAAAGTTACTTCAAAGAACCCCAGCTATACTCTGCTGCCCATTTGAAGCTTTCTGTCTCAGCTCGACCTTTCTAACGTACTGTCCCAAGTGCCTCTATCTTGGACTTCGCTGGTCCATCAGATGTGATTTGCTCAGACTCTCCCCAGAAAAAATCCCAAGTGTTTAATTTAAATGAAGCATATGAAGTTACATTTCTATAGCTCACAAGTGTGCTTTCACAAATTTGTTAGATCCAACTTTGTCAAGTCTCTACTCTTTGTCTGTGTGATTTGCTCAAAGTCTCAGTGTCTAGTTGGGCTATGTTTCAAATCTGTTCTTGACTCAGGTCTGTTCTTTCTAAGACAGTTACATGAAAAGGGTGCTTCAAGTGGGCTTTCAAAAGGAGTTCTCTGGTGTTACTTTAGAATTTTTCTAAAGGACCTTAACCAAGATGGTGCCAGATGGTCCCTGCCTCATGGTATTCATGCCTTTGTGTAGGCATGAGTGTTGAATAGGGCTGACCTGTGTAACCAAAAGGATGTTGTTGAAATGATACCCTTTATAGGTCCTAAAAGACACGGGGACTTCTACTTTGCTTTCTTAGATTATATGCTCTGGAGGAAGCCAGCTGACACGAGGTGAGGACACTCAGGCAGTCTTATGGAGAGGTCCATGTGGTGAGAATAACTTGCCAGGCATGTGAGTGAGCCATCTTGGAAGCTGATCCTGGAGCCTCCATCAAGCGTTCAGATGAGATTAAAGCCCCAGCTGACTGACATCTTGAACCTCACGAGAGACTCCGAGCCAGAACCTTCTAGCTGAACTCTCCCCTGATTCCCAACCCCAGGAACTGCGTGAGATGATGTTTGTTTGAAGCCACCAAAGGGTAATTTGTTATTTAGCAAAATAGAACTGACACAAATAGTACAAAAATATTGGCTTAACTTAACTTCATTTCAGAAGTAAGAATTTTCTAGACTTCTAATTCAAGGCTTTGTAGTCCATTTTCCCAGCCATATAGTTGAATAGAACAGGAGCTCCAGCATGGCCCCTGAGGATCGATCCCAGCTAACTTCCTGCTGCTTCTTTAAGTGTATCCTGTTTTAGTCTTCTAAAGGGCTTAGTTGTGGGGCTCATCGAATACTTTTTTCCTGCTTCAAAACTTCTTACTCAGAGTAAGTGACAGACCTTATGGATTTGGCCCCTGGGGGCCTTGAACCTGAACCCCCACCCCCATCCCAGTGCTTTGCTCTGCTCTGGCCACACCCTCCTCCTGCTCTTCCTTTCACCTAGAATGCTCTTCCCCAGATACCACAAGGCTTACTCATTTCTTTGAGATCTTTGTTCAAATGTTATTCCTCAGAGAAGTTTCTCCTGACTATTGCATGTCAGGGATCACCATGCCCTCCTCACTCTGAGCCATCACTGACTACTTCTTTACCAGATATAGTTACCTATCCCTCCCTACCTGATGTGTCTGTTCACCTCCCCACTACCACACAGCTCTATGAGACCGAGGACTCTGCTCTGCCATCTCTTGAGCATCTAAGCAGTGCAGGGCACAAAGACACTCTTTGAAAGGCCTCTTGCTATTCTTATCCATAGAATGTGTGGTCAGAGGGAGGGGATAGGGGAGTAGGGAGGAAAGAGAATTCTACTTGGGTTTTAAAAACCAAATCGTTTACTTATGCCATCACCATTTCTACACACGCACACGCACACACACACAAAATCCAGGTCAATGACAAACTTTAGTAGTTTTCAGTTTTGTTACTAATGACAAGTCAACACTAATGACAAGTCAACACCCAATTTGTTAGTTTGTTTTTTTGAGTATGTTGTTGTGGCTGTTAATTGTTTGGTTTGGTTTTTACAGTTAAAGACTCTCCATTGAAAATTAAAAGCAAAATTTACCAATGTCAAAAAGAAAGAAAGAAAGAAAGAAAGAAAGAAAAAAACAAAAGAAACAAATTAAATGCCTTAAGTTTAGAGATTGCTATTTAGAAAGCAGCCTGTTTAGAATGACTCACCTGGAGAAGAAAAGTGATGATGTCAAGGATGATGATGACAATTTTGGCGTCTTGGATGGTGAGCAGGTTTACCAGTGGCTCCAAGACTCCAGAGCGGACAAGCTGTATCAACTGGTCCACAGTGCCCCCCGTTGTGAAGTTAGCCACTGCCCAGATGGCCTCTTTCTGGACTTTAAAATCTCCCTGCAGAAAGAGAACATTTACATTCTTTACAGAGCCTGAAGAACTCACAGTGATGCTAACTTGGTTCAGTCTCCAGATAGGCTGGTGATGGCGAGGACTATATGTGAAATTTGCACAGAACACCTTGGCAACTTGCCTCTAGATCTTGAGCAGAAGACAGTGTCTTTGAGATGCCAAGAAAGAGGCAGGCAGACTCATTCGGGCTTTTAGAGGGACATTCTAGGTTCAAACAGACTCGTTTCCTTAAGTCAGGTTATGAGAAGAATAGAACCAAGGCAAACCAGTCCAGGCAATTGATGTAGATTAGGGATTATGCTTGAATTTGAGATTATAGCGGCCTATGTCTACATTTCTAGTCTTTCTGCCCCAGTAACACTTTGGGCCAGGAACTCCATAGCTACAAAGTTGAGCGGACAGATGTGATCTTGGGGACTGAGTCAGCACAGAGGTGACAGAAGAAGGTCACTGAAATATCACTCAATTCATCCCTTGTATTTATAAAAAGCATTTGGCCCAGAGATATGGGAGTAATTTATCACAGATCCTTCTATCCCTGGACAGAAGAATTATTCTCATTTTGTGGCCTGGGAAAATTGTGACCTCAGTTTAAAGCAAAAATCAAAAACCAAACAACTTAAGGCTCCAAGCAAGCTATAGTTCAAAAGGCACAGTTTGAAATAAGAGTATTTCTTGATTCATGACAAGATATTTCTGATTAGAATATGTACAGACTCACAGTAGAACACAGGATAGGAAGTGTCTAATAGATTGGAAAATGCTGTGATTTGGGTTGCGTACCTGGCCTAACTTTTCCTAGTTAATGAAAACCTGGGGCTCGCTATCCAACCTCAGAGCAGAAATGCCTAAGCGGGAAAACACAGCTCATCCATTAAAAGGTGGCAATAAGAAATGCTGATGATCAGAATTGTCCTGGGGAAAGGAAGTGGAAATCAGGAGGAAGAAGTAAGCTTTACTGTATTTCTACTTTTACCTGGATTTTCTGTGTATATTACCACTTTAATCAAGGTGATTTTTATGCACAAAAGGCCACCTGTCTTCAGTGTATAATATCACCATAACCAGATATGTTTTTCCTCCTACACAAAACAAAATCTTTTTCCTCCTTCATCAAGTAGAGAATGGATGGCACATTCTTTTAACACTACATAAAGATAAGCCATTTTTACCAGCTCAAGATTTTTCTGGATATTTGAGCTGTGGGGCCACCCTTTCATTGAACAATGCTTGTTTAGTTCTCTAAATTTTTCATGGATTGTCCAAAACGAGATGCCCCTACCCCTTCCTTTTTAAAGGAGAGCTAGAAAACTAAAGTTTCATAGCTTTGTTGTGATCTCAATTCATTTGCTTCTTAGCCTGTGTCTGAATTCCTGAAGGACTTCAATACAGGGCCAGTTTGAAAGCGGACTTTTGTGGTGGACACTGAGTGTGCCACTTACATTTTTTAGCAGAGCCACCAGGGGAGGCAGCATGTTGCAAGTGATCAGCTGCTGGATGTGCTGGTGGGGCCCCGCAGCAACATTGCTCACGGCCCAGGCTGCCTCCTTCTGGATGAAGGACTTAGGGTGTATCAGGAGCTGGGGCAGCACGCCCAGCACTCCTGCGTCAATGGCCACCTGGGTCTGGTGATCCGTTCCAGTGACGATGTTCCCCATGGTGCGGAGGGAGGGGGTCTAGAAGAACAAGATTAGAAGTGTAACTTTGTATTGCAAATATATTACAGTGGAAGGTGACAATCACACCGAGATCTGTGCCCTCTCAAACATGAGTCATGCTATGGCTGTCTGGAAGCCTGTGAACAATGATTATATCCATAACCCTTATTAATTCAGCAAACCGATGGCTATCGATATGGCTTAAAGGTACTTGACAGCCTCCCAACAGTTCTGGCTCAAGTGGGATAGAGGCCAAGGGATACCTTTATTAAGAAATATGCTGTCCTTTTTATATTCTTACACTGGGAAAACTGTGAAGTTGATTGTAGTGTTTATAATTTAATAACATCTACTGAATTTATATTTAGCACCACTGTCAAGTTTCTGCTATATATTTAATTGGAGCTAATGAGATCCCAATGGCATTTGTTGGTATCTTCACAACCCCCCTCTCAATAACTCTGAAGGTCCCCAGGATGGGTCTACGAATGGGCTCAAGATATCTGTCCTAGGAGGGTTGACTGTGGATTTATTTGTTTCTCTGTACTGTAGTGGCAGCTCAGCATGGCCCATCAACAGTTCTAGAGTTTTCCTAGCCTATTATGCTGTAGTGAGTATCTCACTACTCAAGTGAGAAATGAAAGTAGTGCCATAAGCTAATCACAGCCTTGCCAGGATTGGCATATAGGCCCTAAATCCTCAGAATAAGCAATTTATAGGGTTATAAATATAGGGTTATAAACGTGAACAGGCTCTGTTCACACCCTCCATGCCACCAGCACTAACTCTCAAACTAGCCTTGATATCTGAGGACTACTATACTAATCTCAGATTAGATTATCACTGAGGCTGCATAATACACAGTATTAGGCATAGAAATCAAAATGGGCACCCATATTTTAAACTACACTTTCAAGAAGTATATTATGTAAGCGACATGTTTTGTAACATAGCAAAGTATTTGATACTGGTTTTACTTACTGTTCACCTATATCTGAAGTAGTCTTAGAGAACTGGGAAGAGGATAAGAAGGAATTTCCTTCTATATTTGAGTAAGAAACTCAAATGTTACAAGAGCTTTACATTAATACACATACACACACACACATCCTGTATTAGCCAATTTGTTAGACTACTGGCATAGACCATTAGGAGGAAAGGCCTCAAAAGAAGAGTTCACTGGGTAGAGGGATTATAGGCAATTTTAATTTGGTGCTTTTCTATATTTTTTAGTTATCAGATTAAGAAAAAGTATGTTACCTAATACCCACTAGTGTTTTGGATCAAAATAGACTCGAGAGTCTGGCTTAGAGAGTAGCAGAGACCAGGGAAGAGCAGATGACAAGCTTTGCTCTAGGTGAAGGATTAGGGCTGAGTGTGGGAGGCCTGGGGGTGGGAAAGGAGCAGAGCTTGCTGAAGTGAATTCGACTCACGACTCTAATCGGGAGGCCCACACAGACATATGGGACCTGGGACGTTTACCAAGACATTGAGTTCTGAGCTGGTCATGAGCTCAACCAGCCTGGGCAGGACTCCTGTGTCAACCACGTGGCCAATGCGTTCATTGCTGCCTTCGGTGAGGTAGGACAGGGCCCAGCAGGTATCAGAAAGGACCTCGCTGTCTTTGTGTTGCAGGAGGTGGGAGAGGATGGGCAACATTTGCTCCACTGCCTTTTGGCAAGGGTACGGGTTCTTGTTTCGGCACAGGTTGGACAAGGTCCACGTGATGTTCCGCAGAAATGTAATCTGTAACGAGAAACTGCTTCAGGCATCAGGTGCAGGGAAGAAAAAAATGCAAACAGCAGTGTGTCCTTGCCATCTTTAATCAATATTATTGACCAGCACGAACCAGAGCATCTGAGCTTCAAACAGGAATTTTTTCTAGGTCATGATGTATACTAGGAACACAGAGAATGACCTTTATGCTTTCTATTCAAATGTTAGATGGAGGTTTCCTTATATTCTTCAAAATGTCCTTTCCAACTCCACTCAATTGATGACCTCATTTCATTTTTCATTGGCAAAACAAAGTTGAAGCAGGAGTTACTTGTTCTTCCCACCAGTCTATAACCAACATGTCATAACCATACTTCTGATCTTCTATTCAAGGATCAAGAGAATCTTACCGTGCCTACGGATTCCATCGCTTTGTGCCCTTAAAGATTCTGTCTCCAGGATGACCCCTCTTCCCTAGATCACTCCTATCCATATAAAAACACCCTCTGCAAACTTCGACCGTGACCCTTGGCACCCTCCCTGCCATCGCCCCACTTTTATTTTTCAGGGTCCATCCTTGAGGAGCCATCTGTATCCGCCACTGACCTTGTGGCTTCCCATCTGTGTTTCCACCCCATTTAGTCTGGTTTTTGCCCTTACTTCTTTGTAGTTGGTGATGAAATCAGCTCCTTCCAAGTCATCAAATCCCAGAGTTGCTTTCCAGTCCTAAATTTACTGTCCCTCTCAGTTGTATTTAGTAGCATCTGTGACACCAAACCTGGTTTTCTATTATCGAATGAGCTATTTCTTCTCAATCTTCTTGGCAGGTCTGCCTGACTTCTGAAGGTCAGAGCCCCCAGGACTTGGTCCTGGGCTCTCCTCAAGCTCTAGGTCAGGGGTTGGCAAACTTTCTGTAAAGGGCCAAATAGTAAACATTTTCACCTTTGCAGGCCCAGAGATTCTCTCTGTTAGAACTAGTCAACTCTGTCTTTGTAACACTACAGAAGCCACAGATGATATATATGTAAATGAATGGGTATGGCTGTGCTCCAATAAAACTTTATTTACAAAAGCAAGTAGCTGGCCAGGTTAGGTTTGCTGACCCCTGCTCTAATTGATCTTGTTCAGCTGGATGACACAATTTTCTAGACTTGAAAATCCACTGACGTTGCTGCAATGGTACCTCTCACTCGCTTTGATTTAATATATATGACTAAGGCTCTGATTTCCTCTTCCCTCCATCCTCCTCATTTCTCTAGGACAGTCATCTAAATAATCTGACCCAGAACCTGGGGCATCCTTGCTTTTTTTTTTTCTCACTTCTATGTCTAGAAGAGTGGTACCCACGATCCATCTGCTTCACCATTTCCCTCTGCTTTAATCCTACAACAAGCAGCCAGAAGGGTCTTTCTGAAAGATCAGACCATTTCATTTTCTGCCTTGAAACACTCTAAAGTAGGGGTCCCCAACTAGTAGTGGTCTGTGGCCTGTTAGGAACAAGGCCACACAGCAGGAGGTGAGTGGCACGTGAGAGAAGCTTCATCTGTATTTGCAGCTGCTCCCCAGTGCTAGCCTCACTGCCTCAGCTCCACCTCAGATCATTGGGCATTAGATTCTCATAGGAGCACTGGTCCCTTGTGCTGAAAAGGTTGGGACCACTGCTCTAAAGGCTTCCTTGTGCCACCTGGATGATGTCCAAGTCCCTTGCCCTACTTCCCATCTTACACTGAAAAGGTTGGGACCACTGCTCTAAAGGCTTCCTGGATGCTGTCCAAGTCCCTTGCCCTACTTCCCATCTTACGCTGCTCTCTCCTTGAAAACTCCCTTGGTCATGCTGGCCGTTTTCAGAATCAATCATATCAGGTTTTCTCTCACCTTGAGGCTAGGCGTGTATTTCCTTGGCTTTTGGAAGCTACCTTCTCTTCATTTTTTGTTTGAGGCAAAGCTAGAACCCAAATTTAATTTCTAATCCAGGGAGTCCTCTCTTGTTGCCACATCAATCAACTTTGACTTTAAGCTTCAAAACCTAGACCCTGTTATTTAGGAAAAGAACTGGTGAGCCACTAATTCTATCTGTGACCCTTGAATAGAGAGCTTAGTCATCTACTTTTGCAGGACTATAAGCTTAGAAAAACCTTAATGGACTTCTTCCAATGTCCTCAAAAGAAAGATCAGCCCTATTGCCTGCTGAGGACAAATTTGGATCAATTTCTACCCAAAGTGATGTTCAGTCCTAGGACTTCTTTATAATTGCCATCATAAGGGGCCAGGCAGTAACCACATGGCCCAACATTGATTCGGAAGAACTTCCTCAATTTCTGAACTTTGGGAACTTCTTACCTAGGTAGGTTTTCTAATTTAAAGACACTCACTGGTATGGTTGATGAGACCAGGGCCAGTAGATGTGGGATGGCATTGCTTGAGATAACAAAATCTCTTAATTCTGGGCCATCACCTACAAATAGATAAGAATATGACATTCAAAGAAGGAACAAAGAGAATCCTAGGGTAGGTGACTTATTTTTTAAAAGTCTGTGTAAAATGTGAGAGTCTAAAATTCATTCCTGTATTGGGTGTGTAGGCAGTATAGCCCTGAACTGGATCCTGGGTCTCCAACATGCTAGTTGGGTAGACTGGCCTGGTGTGGGAAGCAGGTACCACACCGCAGCAATTGCCATAGGCAGAGTCTGTGGATGCATAAAGAAGCCAGCCAACTGGGCCCAGACAGTGCATTCTAAATGCTGAGGGCATTTTACAGCATGGTTCTCAGGAAGACAAAGGCCATTGCATACCAAATTGTCTTCCCAGAAGACTTTGACACAGGGCAGTAGCTTCCAAATGCAACTCAGAACAAAATCTAGGAGCTACCTAGGTGTTAGCCATCAGCTATCTGTGACTTTGGCTAAAATACCAATTTTAGACCACTAGAAGTCACCATTGGGCAAGGCAAAGTTAAATTATACCACCCAATTTTGCCTGTTCCTTACTGAATCAAGCAAGATAAGAGACAAAGTTTCTGCAATAGGTGCCTTATTTCTGAAAGCATTTAAAAAACAGACTGATTTTATATTCTGTGTTTGCTAATCCCAATATCTGAAGTCCTTGGAGGTCTAATCATACTATTTGTTTCTGCTGACTCAGTCACAGTGGGGTGTTGATTCTCTGAACTTGAAATGCTAATATTTGGCTGATCTTATTTTGTCAAAATCCTGAGAGATGCAACTGAGTTCGTTTCCCCCAGAGAGCACTGTATTAATATTCAGCCAGAAATCCAGGAGCTTCCAACTCTGCAGCACTAACTCCAGCTTGTGCTTTCCTGGACCACACAGGGAATACAGCATTAAGTCCCAAATCTACAAGGCCAATTTTAGAACTATGTTTGTAGGCGAGACTTTTACCCCAAGCAAAGAAATTTTTTTGTATGTTCCTTTGGCAACTTTCACTGGAGGTAGAATTCTTTTAGGGTCCTGGGTTATGTAAGGGTCTGTCATAAAGCATACGCTGCATGAGTCAAAGGCTTGTGTTTTGTTCCTGAGCCATTAAGACTTGAGGCTGTAGGACCTGGTACTAGCAGGTGATCCTAGGCAGCCTGTAGCTTAAATATGCACTGTATTATCTGGTTTCAGCTTCAATTTCTGGGCTCTGAACTTGACTCTGAATTTTGGAAAGCCAGTTGTATTTTCCTCAGCATTTCTAGGCATTTATACTTAAAATACCAAGTCTGAAATACTATCTAAAGGATGCCCATGACATGCCACATGCCCATCCCACTATTTTCTTAGCCCCCTGAGGGGATAGTCTCACCTGCTATATTTCCAAGGGCCCACACTGCCTGCTCACACACAGTCATATGCGGGGAGGACAGGAGCCCAACCAAGGGCCGGATGGCCCCTGCTTCCACAACAGCCCGAGTCTGCTCCGAAGTCCCCGATGCAATGTTGGTGAGAGCCCAGGCTGCCTCAAACTGCAGGCAGGGGTGAAGTGATGACTTCAGGAACTCCACCAGCCTGGGAATGAGCCCCGCTTCTACAATCAGTTTTAGAGGAGGGTTCCTTTCCCGGGATAGTAATTTCCTTTGCAATGAGAAAGAAACAAAACAAAAACCAAAAAGCAAGTCACGTGAATCAGGTTACTAGAATCTCCTTTCTAGATGTAGTTGGCATTCCCAGCTACCACGAGAGACAAACCGCTGGGCCAGAGCTACTTAATATCCTAGAGTTTAGCCTATAGCACTTTGCAGTGGTGAAGCAACATTTTCCCTTTCAGGTATTATCTATCACTGAGATTTCTGTAGAGGCCAATTCAAATTAAGCTATTCATCTCTGACAACATTTGTATATCTTAAGTTGTTTTCAAGGACAGTGTAGAGGAGATATTTTGTCTCACTTTTGGATGGACTAGCCTTTCCTTATATTGTGTCGGCATTCTGCTACTGTCAAGAAACCAAATAGGCCACTGGAGCTCATTTCTAGCTATGAACCTGTAAATAGCAGAAGTCTGTTTGGTGATACCTGGCTGCCTGGGTGGCCTGGAAATATAGGTCTGGATCTGAGGCATTCACACCATTGATTATTTCTTGCAGGGTGAGGCTGACCTGCAAGGAGACACACATATTTAGGTCAGAGTTTCTGCCAAAAGGAACCAAGGTGGTCATCTAATCTAGCCATCTAACTGATTAGAGCAAGCTGGCTTGAACAGTATGCCCCAGTCTGCATGCTGGTCTATATTAGGGAAGGGAAGAACATTTGGTGGATTCATAGAACTCTTGGACACTCCTCGCGCTCTGGGAGAGAGGTAATACCTATCTCCACTTGGAACCCCAGCCCCTTTTTACTACATGCAGTATGAACACGCTAATGGATGTCAACAAAAATGATAGCGTAAGGACCTCCAAAAACTCCCTCCTCCATTAAAACAAGAAAACTGACAATAGTCAGAATCAACTTTTCAGAACTCTAGAAACTGACCAAAGGCCTGCAGCAATTTGTTTTATTCAAGCCTAAGAAAATTTTCCTATTCAAGAAAAATGACTAGGTCTAAGTAAGAACAGTGAGCATTGTGATATTTTGCCTTATCTTATTCCCACCCACCTCCAGCTCCACAGTAGCCTTGAAAACCGATAGCTCAGTAGCCACTGGAGAAGGCAAAATGTGTTGGATGCTCCCTTAAAATCTCATTCCCAGAGAATTATTATTTGACCTGTCCGGTAGTTTCCTGGGAGATCCCATTTGTAAGATTTTCTTTATTTTGACTCAGATCTCACACAGTACAAGTCTTTTCTCTGAGGGTATTTGTTAAAAAATAATTAAATAAGTAAAGTTATTTAACTTCACAACTGCTTGGGGAAGGGGGGATGTTGAATAATAGTCAGGGCAAACAATAGACTAACCAAAAAACCTAAAAGGAAAAGCTAGAGAATGAGATGTTCATTGAGGGCTTTGAAAGCTCTGACATCCTGAAAATCTAGAAGGCCTTATGCATATACAGGGCTATGTACATGCTTACAAAAAGCTGAGAAGGCCCTAAGCTCTCACCTCTGACTGGCTCTGATGCTACGTGCAAGCAGACAGGGAAGATTTAAAGCAGGGTTGTCAACTGCCTGGCTGAGTGTTGAAGGCATGCCACAGTATGCACACAGACCCCTCAGCAAAGACTGGTTGAACGTTTAGTTCCAAGGGTTTAAGGAAATCTTTCCAATCATTAACTGACCCCTAAGCTAACTGAACAGAGAACTCAATGGTCACATAAGAATACAGACTTTACAAAACTAGTTCAGAAGTCACGGAACAAACAAATGACAACCAGCAACAACAAAAATCCCTGGGCAAAAGGGGATCTGATATCCCAAGTGACCACATTGGATTACTGAAAATGACCAATTGTCTAAGAAATTGTAAGACATGCAGAGTACAGCAGGCACACATGAAACAAAACAAAACGATCAATAGAAACTGTCCCTGAGGAGCCCAAACATTAAACTTACTAGACAAAGACTTTAAATATGTTCAAAGTAAAGAAAACCATGTCTAAAGAACTATAGGAAAGTATGAGAATGATGTCTTGCCAAATAGAAAATATGATAGGAATTATAAATAGGAGCCAACTAGAAATTCTGGAATTGGAAAATACAAAAACTGAGATGAAAAATTCACCAAAGGGGCTCAAGGGCAGATTTGAACACAGAAAATAAACAATTGGTAAACTTAAAGATAGGTCAATTGCGATTATCCACTCCGAGAAAGATAAGTAAAAAAGAATAACAATGAAAATTAACAGATCCTTACAGATCTGTGGGACACCACCAAGCATACCAACATATGATGCATAATAGGATGGAGAGAGAGAATGGGGCAGAAAGAATATTTGAAGAAATGATTTCCAAAAACTTACCAAATTTGACGACAAATTAGTCTATACATTCGAGTAACTTAAAGAACTCTAAATAGGAAAAACTCAAGAGATGAACACCTGGACACATCATAATCAAACTATTGAAATCCAAAAACAAAGAGAAGATCTTAAAATCAGCAAAAGAGAAGCAACACATCACATATAAACTCTCGGTAAGATTGTGAGCTGACTTATTACCAGAAAGTATGGAGATCAAAGAGCAGCAGGATGACACATTCTAAATGCTGAAAGAAAGACTGTCAAGCAAGAATTCTATATGCAGCAACCTATCATAATACAGTGAAGGAGAAGATAAGACATTCTCAGATAAACAAAACAGAAAGTCATTTATTAGGAACTCACTCTACAAAGGAGTTCTTCAGGTACTAGAAACAAGACAATAATTCAAGTCACGTTAAGAAATAAAGAACACCAGTAAAGATAAATATATTGGCAAATACAAAAATCATACACAAATATAAATATTTTTGATTGTAACTCTTTTCATATGATTTAAGACAGCTGCATAAAACAATAATTATAAATTTATATGGGTGGATACATATAAATGTGTAAAGAGGTAACTTGTATGACAATAAGAGCAAAAGGAGGTGGGGTGAATGAAGCTATATAGGAGAAAATTTTTTTATATTATTGAAATTAGATTGACATTACTCCAAACTAGGTTGTTTTAAGATGTTAACTATTCCCAGGACAAAAACTAAGAATAATTTTAAAAATACGGCAAAAGAAACAGGGAAATTAAAATACTAAGCTAGAAAATATCTATTTAACATAAAAAACAGTAATGGAGGAATAAAGGCAAAAACAAACATAAGACATAGATAACAGCAAAATGGCAGACATGAGTTCTATTTTTATCAGTGATTGCATTAAATGTAAATATATTAAACACTCCCAATAAAAAGCAAGAATTGGCAGCTTAAAGTTTTAAAACATGACCAATTACGTGCTATCTACAAGAGACACACTTTAGATTCAAAGGAACAAGTGGGTTGAAAATAAAAGAACTGAAAGCAATATGCCATGCAAACAGTAACCGAAGAGAGCTAGAGTGGATATACTAATATTAGACAAAACAAACTTTAAGACAAAAATTTTTACTAAAGACAATGACATTTTATAGCAATCAATTTATCCAACAGGAATACAATAATTATAAACACATATGCATCTGTCAACAGCCCTCAAAATACATGCAGCAAAAACAGACAGAACTGAAGAGAGAAATTGAAAATTCAACAATGATGGCTGGAGACATCGAACCCTGCTCTCAATAATAGATGGAACACCTAGATAGAATATCAAGTTAACAAAAGACTTGAACAACACTACAAATCAACCAGATCTCACAGATGTCTACACTACGGAACAGGAGAATACATATTCTTTTCAAGGGCATGTGGAATGTTCTCCATGATAGGCCATGTGTTAGGCCTTAAAACATGTCAACAAATTTATAAAGAATGAAATCATGCAGAGTATGTTTTCCAACCACAATGGAATAAAATTAGGAACCAATGATAGAAGAAAATAGAAAATTCACAAATATATGGAAATTAAACAACAAACCCCTAAATAATCAATGCATCAAAGACGAAATCACAAGGGAAACTAGAAAATAGTTTTTTTTTTGAAACTAGAAAATAGTTTTTGAGATGAAACAAAAACAGAAAAACTGGTAAGCTACAGCTAAAGCAGAGCTTATAGGGAAATATATAGCCATAAATGCATAATTTAAAACATAGAAAAATCTCAAACCCATTATCTAACTTTATACCTTAAAAAAAAAAACAACTAGAAAAATAAGAGCAAACTAAATTCCAGCAGAACAAAAAAAATATATTAAATACTAGAGTGGAAAGAAATGAAATGAAATGGAAAAATGGTGGTGGTGGGGCAAGGATTGTGAAACCAAAAGTTGGTTCAAAAGATCAATAAAAATGACACATCTTTAGCTAGGCTGACCAAGAGAAAAAGAGAAGACTCAGGTTATTAAAACCAGAAAGGAAAGTGGGGACATTACTACTAAACTTACAGAAATAAAGATTAGAAACTAGATGAACAGAATATGCCAACAAATTAGATAATCTAATAAGGGGCAAATTGCTAGAAACACACAAACTAGCAAAAGTAACTCAAGAAGAAATAGAAAGGAAAAAAAAATATTACACAAAGAGAAGCATAGGTACTAGTGAGTTTTACCAAACAGTTAAAGAGGAATTAACAGTAATCCTTCATAAACTCTCAAAAAATAGAAGAGGAGGGAACTTTTAGCTCATTTTATGAGTCCAGCATTACCTTGATACCAAACCAGAGTAAGACATTACAAGAAATAAGTACAAACCAGTATCTCCCATTTTATTTACTGATAAAAGACTGAAAGCTTTTCCCTTAAGATCAGGAACAAGACAAGGATGTCCAGCCTTATTACTTTTATTCAACATAATATAGGAAGTTCTAGAAAGGCTAATTAGGCTAAATAATTAAAAATAAATAAATAAAAAACAAACAAACAAATAAATGGCATTTGGATTGGAAAGAAGTAAAACCATCTCTGTTTGCAGAGACATGATCTTAGATGTAGAAAATCCTGAGGAATCTACACACACACACACACACACACACATTTAGAATGAATAAACAAGGTTTAGGTAAGTTGCAAGGTTAACGTACAAAAATCAATTTTATTTTTTTATACGTTAGCAATGAACAATGCAAAATTAAAATTAAGAACAATTTTATTTACAATAGCATTTAAAAATAAAATATTTAGTAATAAATTTAACAAAAGTGTAAAATATGCTGAAAATCTCAAATAAATTTAGAGAGGATCTAAATAAATTGAAAATTATCCCATGTTCATGAATTGGAAGACTTAACATCATTAAGATGGCAATACTCCACAAATTGATCTATAGATTCAAAACAATGTCCATTAAAATCTGAGCTACATTTATTGAAGAAATTGACAAGCTGGTTCTAAAATTCACGTGGAAATGTATGGAATCCCGAACAGCCAAATAATCTTGAAAAAGAACAAAGTCGAAAGACTCACACTTACCAATTTCAAAAGCCAACTACAAAGCTACAGAAATCAAGTCTGTGTTGTGCTGACATAAGGATAAACATGTAGATCAATGAAAGAGAATTCAGAGTCCGCAAATACACCATCACATTTATGGTTAATTGATCTTTGCCAAGGGCATTAAGACTGTTCAATGGAGAGAGGATAGTCTTTTCAACAAGTGGTGTGGGGACAACTGGATACTCACGTGCAAAACAATGAAATTAAATTAATTCAAATTTCAAATTAATTCAAAATTCACAAAAAATTAATTCAAAATGGACCAATAACCTAAATATAAGAGCTAAAACCATAAAACTCTTAGAAGAAAAGACAGAGTAAATCTTCATGACCTTGGTGGATTCTTAGATATGATACCTAAAGGACAAACAGCCAAAGAAAAAAAGAGATAAATTGGACAGCTTCGAAGTTTAAAACTTTTATGCTTCAAGGAACCTATCAAAAAAAGTGAAAAGAACCATAGAATAGGAGAAAATATTTGCAAGTCATATCTGGTATCAAGGATATATAAAGAACTTTTACAACTCAACAATAAAAAGACAAATTACTTGATTTAAAAAATGAGCAAAACATTTGAATAGACATTTCTCCTAAGAAGATATACACATAGCCAATAAGCATGTGCAAAAATGCTCATCATTAGTCATTAGAAAAACGTCAAAATCATAATATAGCCCTTTGCACCCCCTAGATAGCTATAATCCCAAAATGGACAATAACAAGTGTTGGTAAGAATGTTAGAATGTACAATGGTGCAGCTACTTGGGAAAACAGTTAGCAGCATATTTGTTTCCTATTGCTTCTATAAAAATTGGTACAAATTTAGTGGTTTAAAAGAACATAAACTTATTCTCTCATAGTTCTGGAGATCAGAAGTTCATAATCAGTTTAATTGGATTAAAGTCAAAGTGTTGGCAGGGCTGGTTCCTCCTGGAGGCCGAGGGGAGAATCTTGTTTCCTTGCCTTTTTCAGCTTCCAGGGTGCCCACCTGTGTCCCGTGGCATGGGACCCCTCCCTTCATCTTTAAAGCACAACATACTAATCTCTGCTTTCATCATCATATCACCTTCTGCTCTGACTTGTCCTTCATCCTTCTTATTATAAGGATCGATGTGATTACATTGGACCCATCATATAATCCAGGATAATCTCCCCAATCTCGAGATCCTTAATTGTGTCTACAAAGTCCTTTTTGTCATATAAGGTGACAACCATAGGGTTCTGGGGATTAGGAGATGGAGACGTTTGGGCAGCCATTATTCAGCTTACCACAGGCAGTTCCTTAAAGAGTTCAATATAGAGTTACCATGTGACCCTATTCTATTCCTAGGTATGTACCCAAAAGAATTGAAAACATGTTCACATAAAAACTTGTACACAAATGTATATAGCAGCATTATTCATAATAACCAAAAAGTAGAAACAACTCAAATGTCTATCAGCTAATGAATGGATAAATAAAATGTGTCATGCCCATACAATGAAACACTCACTACTCAGCCACAAAATGAATGAAGCACTAATAGATACTACAATATGGTTGAACCTTGAAAACATGATACTCAGTGAAAGAAGCCAGACACAAAAGGGCATATATATTATGTGATTCCATTTATAAGAAATATCCAAAATAGGTAAATCTGTAGGGACAGAAAGTAGATTTGTGGTCACCAGGGGGAAGAAGGATTGAGGGGTGACTGCTTAATGGGTATGGGGTTTCAATTTGAGGTGATGAATATGTTGTGAAATTAGCTAGTGGTGATGGTTGCACAGCCTTGTGAATAGACATACTTCAAAGGGGTGAATTCTATGGTATATGAATTATATTTTAGTTTTTTTAAAGGCATGCTAATAGAGGATAAAAAAGAAAACAACTCCTTCATTTTGTAGTTTCATCTTCCTTGGGTGGACTCTTAGGGACTATCCTAGACAAGTGAAGCTAAGGAGAGATATGGTGCAGAGTCCTACAGCAACTCAGAATGGTTACAGCTACTCTATTCGATGGCCAAGAACAAATGTTGGGTCCACTTGCCCGGATTGAACCAATCTCTGCCCTCTAAGCCTGGCGCAGCGGAGTGATGCACGTGGATAGTGAAAGAGGGACACAGACAGTGGCGGATCATAAAAGGCATGACGATACACGCTACTGGAGTTCTAAGAAGGGGAACCTCCTGGTCAGGGCATTCTAGAAAGGACTTGCAAAAACAGTGTTGGCCAGGAAGTCAACCCAGGATTTGTACTGAGTGAGGTTAGGGTGGATGGAGAAGGCTGACAGCAGGGAGCAGTATGCAAGTCCCCTGCAAGTCCTCACATGTTAAGAAGACGCCTCTTAAGAGAAACTTCATGACCCCTCATTTCCTGTTTCTGGCTAAGTGGTGGCAAATAAATTTTCCCTGTTAGAATACAGATCCTAGACTCACAGCCACAAAGATAAGGACCCTTAGCTTTCTGGCAAAACCAGTTTGACATTAATCATTATCTCTCCACCCCTTTCCTTCAAGACCCTCAATCAGAGCTTGTAAGTTCAGAACCAAACATTTTCAAGCCAGAGAAACTTCCTAAGGATATTATTTTACACACAAGTGCTCTAAACGCCATGTTCCAGCATACCTCTTTGGTTGGTTGTTCAGAAGCAGGGTCAGGAGAGAGGCTGGTGATATTTCTTCTCTTTAAGGCCTGCTCATCCTTCTTGGCCTTCCGGAGCTGCAGGCTGACCACTATCCGCTGGTGCCGCCTTGCCTAGTGAGGGATAGAACTGGTACACTCAGGACTAGGAAGCCAGGCTGTTGTCATGTTTATTCTTTAGAACACCGTATAAAGCATCTGATGTCATTTCACGGATGCAACAGGCTGGAAGAGTTATGTTCACACGGCTAGTCTCAGCTTGATTTACCTCCTCTGCTTTCTCCTACTACACCATAGATAGGAAAATAGTCAATCTTCCCAAAGTAAAGATCACATAAACCGATGGCGAGCCAGGATTCTCAACTGTAGAGACATCTGAGCAAAGCACCCATGCCCTGAGTCTAAGTGCATCTTCACTGGTGCAGACTAGCTCCTGGAGAGCAGGCCTGGGCCTTCCGCTTGTGCGCTGACAGCTGGGGCTGTGAATGGAACGCCCAGGCCCGGATGCCCCTGACCATGACCACTGTTAGGGAATTGCTCTCTACCTCATTCAAACCTTGATCCAGTCCCAAGAGTTTTACTTGGAGACCAGAGTGAGGGAAATTAAAATTAAAAATATAAACAACCCTCTTTATACCAAGTGAAACTCAGACCTTATAATATTGAGAATCCTGGGGAAATGATCTAACCTATGTGGATAGACGAGTTTTAGGTTGAAGGCTTTTAAGTGTTAATTTAAGGAAGTTTATATATATTAGCTATTTTGGCTCCTTACACAAGCCATGTACTTCTTGCTTGAAAATAGGGTCACTGTAGTGTTATCTGACAAGGCAGTGACACCTTTGGGGCCCACTGAGCCAATTGTACTGTTGCCCCATCACTAAGTGGTCCCTGTGTATTCTCCCTTCTCATCTCCTGGCCCTTCCCTCTGCTCTCCACAGAGGGTTCAATTCTTTTGTTCTAGTTGGTTTCCTTTCATCTGTAGTGGTCTTGGGAGCCAGACAGTGATGCTTGTCTGAAAGGGTGTAACAGTGATTTGGCTCTGAGTGGTATCCTAACTGGCCAGCTGTGACCCTGTGCTTTCTCATCCTCACCTGTCCTTCAGATTCCCAAGACATATTCAACCTTGTATGATACAACAATCAATATACACAGATGTGAGACACAGAGCTAGAGCCAGAAAACTGAGACCAGAGAAACTTAACGAGAGTTAGAATCCACACACAGCACAGGCTCCCTGCCCCAGGCCCTTGTGCTTGGCCCAGCGGCTAGAAGAACAGTCTGGACGTTTCAATTCCGAGTTCTATTTCTGGAAGACACGCTTGCTGGCCATACTGTATTGCAAACATTTTAGCTCCTTGGTAAGCCTTCTTGACATGAGTAACTGCAGCTAAGCATTTGATGCCAGGCATTTGACGTTGCTATGCATTCCCTAAGAGGAAGTTATCAGCCCTGTTTCATAGATGCAAAAACTAAAGCTCTGCATTAATAGTTTCAAGATCACATGGAGACCTTGATTTAAGCCAACAGTTGCCTGACTCCCAAGTCCTTGAACTTTCGTACTCCTCACCCTCAATATTTTATTACAAAAATCTCAAACACACAGAAAGAAAATTTGAAAGGATTATTTGGTGAACACCCATGCGCCTATCCACAATGAACATTTTGCTCTATTTGCTTTGTCACCCTCTTCTCTCCACCCTCCACTCCATTTTTGATGCATTTCAGTCACGTGCTTTTTACTGTGCTAGTCCTTGATAAAGTGAGGCAGTTGCTTCATACTCACAGACGCATCTTTGCCTCTGTACTTAAATTTTCTCAGTCTCTCTTCTGGAGCTTCTAAAGTCGGCATGTTGACTGGAATAAGTAAACCACCTGTCGGCAGGACAGTTACAAAGAGATATTCAGTGTCCATTGTGTGGGTTATTATGTTAAAGCTGTTGAGCTCTAAGCCCTTAGAGGACTCACAGGGGAATGGAGAGCAGACTCAGGAAGTCCGCTTCCACAGGCATCAACATGCCAGGTCAGTAGGTGATGAGCACTGTGGGAACTTGGAGGGGAGCAGCCCTGGGCTACAGGAGTACAAGAAACCTCTTAAAGGCAGTGTAGTCTGAACCAGGCCTTTGATGGCTCAGGTAGGCTGGAAGTAAAGTACTGAACCTTCCATGTGGCTGTGTCCAAGGAGTTCTATACAGAGCTTACACGCAGGACAGTGAGGAGTCTAACCAGGCTACGAGAGAAAGATGGCTCTCTCCTCCCACACCAAATCCACTGGGACACTGGGTCAGGACAGGCTCAAGCGTGATCCACTTCTTTTAATTTTTTGGTAGACTGCCTCAACCCTGGACCAGACCACCATTATCTTTCACCTGCATTACTGCAATTGCCTCCCAACTATCCCTGCTTCTTCACCATTGCCTTATTCTAATATGTTCTCTCCACAGAAGCCATGTGATCTTTCAAAGAAAAGAATCTGATCGTGTCATTTTTCTCACTTAAAGACTCTCTACTGGAGGCCCACTGATCTTAGAAGAAAATTGAAACTCCCTGTGATGCCCTGAGCATGCTGGTCCCAGCCCACCCCGCCCCCAACAACTCTTTCTCACCTAGGAATCTAAGTATCTTCTCACTCGGTTTGTTTTATTTTCTCCATAGCTTTTACCACCACCCAACATTTTCTTGTGCATCTTCCTTCCCCTACTCCCAATGACAACGGGACCATGTGTGTCTTAGGTACGACTCCTTCGCCCCTTCACAAAGCATGGCATAGAGTAGGTACTCGAATATTTGTTGGATGAGGGTGGTGGGTGATAAGATCACAAAGGGCGTTGGCCCTCAGTTAGAGGAGGTTATTCAAATCGGGCCAAGTTTGAACTTTCTACAAGGTGGCAGGGAATGACATTTCTTACATATGCATAATGAATATCTGTCTGTTTTCAAGTATATGGAATGGGTCAGACTCCATGCTAGAAAGGAGAAAGCTGGATAAAGAAGACCAGTCTATTGACTCTGTACTTGAGTACATAACAGCAGAGAATAATTTGGATAGGAAAGACTAATCTAGACCTATCAATTTGGAAAAGACAGTGTCGACAACTTGGAGAATTTTGTGAATAGAGGGTTAAGTCTGATGTCTCAAGAAGAGATGAACTCTATGTGAGAACAGAACAAGAATTGAGTCTTGATGACTTTATATTAGGGCCCAAAAGAACAAAGACCAGCAAGAGACTATGAGAAAGAGTGGAATCTGAGACAGGACAACAGTATATAGTTTCAAAGGCATTGCTGGAAACAGCGGCTACCAGGCCAGGGGCAAGTCCCCAAACCAAAGCACCACCAACCAGCCACAGCAAGATAGGAGAACACATCATCTGAGGCTTCATTGTGGTGACTTTGCCTGTTTTAAAGCATTGGTTTCCTTAGGAGCTTGGCCAAAAATAGCCTATAACTGGTCCACAAATCTGCAAATGGGAAATGCAAATTGCTTTCTGGAGTTGTCTACCTGCCATGACCACTGTCAGAGCCCAACCTAGAGAGGTGGATAGTGACACAGTGGTTCAAAAGAACATAGAGGAAGCTCCCAATCATTCTGTTAACAAGGTCGTGTTGGTTACCTCCTCATCCCCACCCCACCTCTTATGTAGAGGGGCCTCAGTGACACCCATAGTCCTTCAGTTTCTGTGTATTTAGCAGAGACAGCATCTCATAGAAGTTGGCTTTGGCTTTAGATTTAGTCAATGAAAATTTCAAGCTGGAGGCAGCTTTACCTCCCACATCAGAAGCCAGCACATCAGAAAGAGGAGAGACCCTATATTGCAGGACAATCTCAGCCCTGGAACCTCGGATTAGAGCATAACCATGTCCTATCCTTTCATCTACTTTTAAGTAATCTTATATTCTGCCCCATTAGGAAGAAAAGAGTTGCATTTTATGTTCAGAGTCCAGAGTGCTAACCATTACACTATGGAACCTCACTGCTTTTTATGTTCAAAAGATAAATCATTGCTATTAATTACAACACCCTTTAAAAGAGCACCTCGAAAGAGTTTTCCAGTTGCTATAATAACGTTTCAAGAGGACTATCAGTTGGAATTGAGGTTTGGGTTTAATGAGAAGCTAAATCCTATATCTCTGATGTAGGACATGTGGCATTTTATAGATCTCGAGACTAGTATTATGGGCTTATTTCAGGGCCCAATGGCCAAAATACATTGACTACATGCCAGGAATGCTGGATACTCAGGATTAAATGAAGCAACATTAACGTAAGGTTGAGAGTTTATGTTCCGCAGGTGGGGAAACCAGCCCAGACGCTGTTTCCTACAGAATCTGAGTTCCCACAGCCTTTACACATCAGCTGTTATAGATCTAAGCTAGGACTTCAGCTTAGATCTCATTCCTGCATCCATACTTTGGATCACTAAGCTTTGTAGTCAACAATCTAAACAAGGTCTGATTAGGAAAACACCATCACCACCATGGCACTTAACACCTGGGGTAAGATGCTGGAACATAGGAAAGCCTGTGTTTTAGGCAACGGAGACAAGGGAGGCCATCTCTGAAGTGCTCTGCTGTATGTTGCCACCTCACTGCTATCTCATCCACTGGAGTGAGACTGTCTGAATGTGCATAAGAGACCAGTTTGGTACAAAGAGAGGAAATGCTTTTGCTTCTGAGGAGACCCAAGGCACTGCCTAGTTCTAGGACTGTGGGAACTATTCACCCTTCTGCAACATCCCAGAAGATATGGCCATGAGGAACCTTGGACATGGATCCAGGGGTTCAGATGGCTGCCATCTCCCTTAGAATCAAACATCAAGGGGAAAGCTGGTATGACATGCCATAAGCAGAGAAAGCCCAATCTCAGAGCAGATAGGGTCCTCCCCTCTCCCTGAGGCATCTTGAGGAAGCAGTTTGAAAGTCACGGATTTGGCCAGACCACTTTATGTGGGGGACATTCTGCAAAGCCAGCTGCAAAGCAGATCCTTCTGGCTTTCACAAGTCACAGCTCAAAGTGTGCTTCCCTCCACTCACATTGCTATTTGCAGCATCCAGGAGAGCTGGGTACCCTGTCATCCTCACCAGTAGCTTCTCTGAGTTTGAGCTCCAGAGAAAGCCAAACTGGTTATTCAGGCAAACGTCACTAACTTAGGGGCTTTCTCTACACACACATCCCCAGCCTCAGGCCAGCTCTGGTGCTCCCCACACACTGAGACCACTACCCTGGGTGTCAGGTGGCAGAGCCCTCGGTAAAGGATTCTGACCAAGTCTTATTAATGACCCTGAGTCACTTTCTCTGATTGGGGTATTACAGGCCGTTTTGTTTTTTTCTATGCTTTTCTAGATTTAGCCAAGCTTTGACTGTGAGCATCTTTCATGAACTGAGAACTGTGTTAAATTAAGATATAGATCTCATCATCCAAGAGTTGGCTTCTCTAAAGCAGTATTTTTCTGATTTTAAATTAACACCCTTCAGAAATGTGTTGAGCATTAACTCCCAATAACCCCACTCCTCCTCCAGGTTAACCTTTAAATACTCACACCACCCTCTGCAGGCCCCAGTGGCTGTGCACGTGCTGAGGGGCTAAATACAGAAGGAATCTTGATACACAGTTTTAGGACACATTTCTCCACTTTGCCTGCACTGCGAACATCTTTTGATGTCAGTATATTCAGACCTATATCACTGACACTTCTTCAAACAAAGCGGGATTTGTTTTAAGCTAAAACTACACATGGGGTTGGAGCGAGTGAGGCTTAGTCCCCAGAAAGCATGGAGCTGACCTCTGCTCCAAGGTGCATAGGTCAGCAAGCAGGCACCTCCAGGGCAGGCTGGGACCCTGGAGTGGGGATGGGGTGGGGGTCGGGGCGTGGTTATGGGCCCCACCTGGGCATTTTTGGCTCCCCACAGGGCTTTACCAACATGAACAAGACATGTCCAGATACCATGTTGGTTACGAGGAGGCACATAGCTAGGCCTTCCTCCATGGTTCACGCTGGCCTAGAGGGGAGGCAAGTGTCACAGCAAAGAAAGGGACAGGATACCCAGTTCTCTTCCTGGTGATCCCACCTCCAAGGCTTGGGAAGGCTTTGTGGGAGGGGGCAGAGTTGGGTGGACGATTCCCACAGGTGAGTATATCCTGAGGGCTATTTCAAAGGGAACACAAGCAAAGGCACAGGGCACGCAGTCCATAGGCTGCTGTGCGGTCACACGTGGCTCCATGTACCCTGTAAACTTCCATCTGGGCTCTGCAGAGTAAACGGACCCCCGACATCTGCCGCATCCTCCTTACCCCTCCTGCAAACGAGCCAAGGGCCCCTGAGCACAGTTCCGTAAACCGAGGCTGAATTCAACAAGGAGACCCAGCTGAGGCTGTTTGGGAGCTCTTCCTCCCTGAAGGCTGCTGGCTTTGGGGAGGACAAGACCACAGCACCTCACCAGGGCCCCCAAATAGCTTCATGGTCATTACCCCAAAAGAGCAAGGTGTCTGGTCAATACCCAGAGAGAGGGCTCCAGCAGACACAGCCACATGGGAAGCCCCCAGCACCCTCCTGCACAGGAAAGGGCTGCCACCGCTGTTACTCACCTGGCAGGGAACCACAGCCTTCAGCCCCCTCCCCCCTCCCCCAGGTTGGCCTTAAATGCCCTCAGCAGGTGGCAGGTGTTTCAGGGCATCTGGCCCTTCCCCATAGGGCGGGTTTCTGACATAAGTCAACGGTGCTCAGCCTTGGATGCACATTGGAATCACGTGAGGACCATCAGGTTCTGCAGCTGCAGCCTTTTGAGACCCTCAGATGAACTATTAAAGGCAAGAGGCGGGGGCATCCCCCTCCAGGAACGGTTTGCATTCT